CAAGGCAGTTGCTAGTACCATTATTGACTCAGCTGGGGTTTAAACCTGCGACCTCCAGCATCCATGGTGGCGCTCTAACCACTTTGGTAATTGGAGCGGTTCAGTTAATACATTTATTAAGGCACTATCTTGCACATGAACCTAAAATATATTGAAGATGTTCACAAAATGTATATTAAATGTGCCTCATCTTCAGATCAATATTCAAAGCAATCAACTAAAGTCAAGCATTATTCAGAAATTAAACGTCTGCGGAGAGACGAATCGTGGAAAGACTATGTCTGCAAAACTGAATGCAGGAACATTGTCTAATTAATAATATGTTCAATATATCTGTTTAATAAGACATAAACATAAATTAGTTATTTAAAGATGAAAAGGCAATAGGTGCTGTTGAGACAAGTTGATAAGTGGTTAAAATTGATGTTTATCAAGATATAAATACTTTGTTTATCAAGGTAGAAATGCACTGTGATGTTTATCAAAGTAGAAATACATTATTGATGTTTATCATGGTAGAAATACTTTGCGATGTTTATCAAAGTCGAAATACATTAGTGATGTTTATTATGATAGAAATACTTTGTGATGTTTATCAAAGTATAAATACATTATTGATGTATATCAAGGTACAAATACATTGATTGTGCCTATATACTGATAGTATATACAGTAACTCAACTATATCGTTTTTATATACGTTAATTCCTTTAGACCTGCTGGATAGAGCTTGAAATAGTTACGCATGAGTAATGGAATCTCCAAATCAACCATGAAATGCAGCTAGTATCACGGTCATCAGGTCAACATAATTTTCTCTATCACATTAATTGGTTTAACGTTTCCCAATTGTAAAGAAAAACTACTTACTGGCGTGAGTTTACATATGTTCTAGAGGTAATTAATTGGGCATTAGGACATTTTCCAAAGACCATTAGCTAGTATTCGTAATTAGATTCTGCATATAGATTTGGTGTCATGATGTTTCCACCTCCAATTCTAATCTAAAATCATCAGGCGTATGTAAGAGTCTGTTATGGTAACGGCTGTGTCTTTCTGCAAATGTAAATCTGCCGATATATGCTGGCACTATTGCTATCCGATAATTATTTTTTCGGAATTAAAATGTTTACCATCTCCACTTAATAAATACTGTCTCGCTTGTCGTCATTAATTGTTCATCAACTAATTATCAAAGGTATCCGTGGCATCGTATAATACAAGTTGTTTTCTCTGTTAATGCTTAGAGTAAATCTATTATGGATTGATTTAACATTCAAACTAAACCCCCAAGAAATGTGTTTGGCTGTTTACATTTTTCAGGGTATATTAATTGTGATTAATTTCCTCTTTCTACACGTATAATGAGATTTCAAGATCATATTAAATGGAACTTAGAACTGATCTTGAAAGTGTTTGAATTTTATAAATACACACTCTTTGGGCATTATTACTGTTGATTTGTCAACTCTGGAACATAACTATTTGTGCTATGGTGACTTTTGTTTCTCCGGTATATAAAAAAATTCCTTCACATTCATATTTATGTCCTTCATTATCGTTTATTTTTGAAAACACCAATCTAGAAAAAGTGTTTTTATTCCATTGTAATAGTACCTGGTTACCTTTCTAGTTATTAGAACCACCCTATTAAATTAAAACTGTCATGCTTCTATTTCAGTTACTCTTCAAGGGTTTATGCAAGTATGTTAAACTATTTTAAAACATTTGCATTTCGAAGTTTGCCTAATGCCTTCTATTTCTACCAGACATTAATGGAATCAACTACTATCTCTATCTATATCAAGTTGTAGGTTTCGGAGTTCAAAGTTTGGAGAAACAAACTCGTTTACAATTTGATGGAATTTCCCAGTTAGAAATGACTCACATCTTTGGAATTCCAGAACATTATACTGCGACGAAGGACAAGTGGTTATGTATATAGATAGAGAATTTGACAACCAATTACTCATTCCTGTCTCGTATCATCCTTGAGGTATCTATGATCAGAATTTACAGATCCAGAACTGGTAAAGTTGCAATATCCGTATCTATTAAAATAAGCGACTCCTTGTTCTAATCAGGAGTCACCTAGATGTCTTTTAGAATTTCAACCACAGGAGAATGCAGTTTTATCAATAAAGCACGACGAAATTTCTGAATACATGAAATCACCTTAACGGTATTCTAATATAACACAAGGAATGCAACCATGACCACAACCCTGCGCTCGATTCGAATTTTCTCAGGCGCCTTTTATCGCTTCAGAATCGCACGAGACTGAACAACTACCCATATCCATTCATAAAACAGTAACGTACCAATCCATCATTCTTGGACGACCATCGCATGAATCCAATCTGGCGAATTAACCTTTATTTTCACTATTTCGGTCATAAACCCTGTAAAAATGAACCATACCAGAAAGTAGCCAATTTCTGCTAGTTTCTACCTTGCAGTAAATATGCGTGATTGTCTAATAATAGTTCCGAACACCGCGCAGAATCTGTTCTCTTTTAATAATAGAACGTTAATTACATATTTCTGTTCTGGAAATTGATACAAAAATTATTAAATGATGCAATCTGAAATAAACAAAAAATTAAACATTTTATCTTGTAAAATTAGTTTCATGACGTTATTTAGCCCGTGGTAGAAATAGGCTACTTCCTGGCATGGTTCATTTTTCCATATTGCTGTAACCTTTGCTTATATTTGGTTGAAACAAGGTTCTTAACGGTTGGGTGTTGTTTAAAACTATATCCTTTGACTTTGCTGGAAGGAGTATTTGGAAAGACTTCTTGGTATGTAAATATCCGAGTCCATTTCAAGTTCTACAGTTGTAGCTATATAATGGAATTGAAATTAATAATGATTTTGTTCGTCCATTCTAACCTATTACACTAAAACAGATTTGAACGCGATGATAATAGCGCTCTTCGTCCATTGAAAAAAGAAAGGGTCAATGCTTAAAAATAATTATTTTAAAGAGAAAAATATCAGTATTATTTTACGCAAAACTAACTTTAGCAGCGATTTCCCATATATTGTTTAGGTTATATAATTAACATATTAAATGATTCTAAATTTTATTCAGAGCTGCAATTTCAATCTGTGATTTTCGTAATTTTGCATTTGCGGCATGTCTTCATCATAGACTCATATTCAGTTAGTTCAATCGAAATTAAATAATTGCTACTCACAATATGTTACGAACATATGTGTAGCATCTCCTTTCCTGTACAATAGTTTCTTTTTTCTTTCACTTGTCTTTCCATTCTCATTGTCTTGATTTATATCGTTCACTATTTGTTCATTCGTCCGGCTTTTTTGTTAGCATTTCAATGGCCAAGAGCATGCTCAGTCAGAAAGTGCCCGGGGGTGGGCATATGGCCCGGACCTCAACCATTAAGGGACGTTGAAAAGCATTTTTTTTTGCTATTATAAAACTGCATAATTCTGAAAATAATTAATCTACTTCCTTTTTAATTAGTTGTCTTTTCTATCTTTATATAGTAAATTTTATGTCCTTTTTCGCATTTGATTTATTTCCACAATTTCGATATAACCAGTTCCTTGTAGTCTTAAACTCTCGAAGTGGCCTGGGTTTCTCTCAGTCAGTGCAGGACCTGGTCTGGAGATCACGGTTTGGTCAAGGTAAATGACCTCATTTGATGTGATGTGATGTAATTATGATTTTTAACGTAGCTTTCACAATTGTTTAGTCATATCGCTACGATGTCTGCAGTGAGGAAGTTTATAGTGATGTCTAGCACTGGGGAATCATGCCTCAGACATGTAGCATAATGTCCCACCCAGTCACATTATCCTGTCACCAGGCCGACCAGTTTTAACACTGACCTCTTAATGCTGAGCGTCAAGCGAGGCAGCTGTTCGTACCATTTTTGTAAGTCGTTGCTATGACTCGACCGGGATCGAACCCACGACCTCCCGCATCCGAGGCGGACGCTCTAACCACTAGGCCACCGGAGCGGTTAACCTCATTTGAAATGTTTGTATCCCCAGTCAGGAATTACACAAAATTTGTTTTCTTTCAGCTATGGGATTAAAAAAAAAACAACACAAACGTCGATAATTCCGTGCAACTAGTTTCGCATATAATATATGCTTCTTTAGGCACAAAATGTTTTGAAATAAACGGATGATGTCTTTACAGGCTAAAATAACAATTACGTCATTAGGTAACGTCATAAAAACAATGCATAATCACAACAACTATATATATGACAGGATCTAAAAGATACACGAGTCTCTAATGAAACCTGAATCAGTAAAATAATAAAATAAAATAGAGACAAACAGTCATACATACAATTATAGTGTTATAAAAGATATACAATTTCACAATTGAAAAGAAAATTATACAATTTTATATAATACATTGGTATTAAGGTCATTAGGATACAAAGTATCTAATTTTATATAATACATTAGGATACAAAGTATCTAATTTTATATAATACATTGGTATTAAGGCCATTAGGATACTTTGTATCCTAATGGCCTTAATACTAATGTATTATATAAATTGTATAATTTTCTTTTCAATTGTGAAATTGTATGTCTTTTATAACACTATAATTGTATGCATGACTGTTTGTCTCTATTTTATTTTATTATTTTTCTTTCAGCTTGACATACGCATTAACAATCTTTTTTACATCTGCTTCTTATGCTTATAACCAGACAACTGACATGGGAATCAAGTTCAAGGACATTGTGTGTGTGTTTGTTTGCGTATGTTTGTGGTTAAGATTTTTAAAGTAGCTTTGACAATGTGTCAGTCATATCGCTTCGATGTCTGCAGGGTGGCAGCTTAGAGAATGTCTAGCACTGGGGCACCATGCCGCAGATATTTAGCATGATGTCTCACCAAGTCACACTATCCTGACACCAGACCGACCATTCCTAATACTAATTTCCTAATGCTGAACGCCTAGCGAGGCTTCTGTTAGTATCATGTTTATAAGTCTTTGGTATGACTCAACCGGGTTTCGAACCAGCGAATTCTCGCACACGATGCGGACGCCCTAACCGCTAGGCCACCGGAGCAGTGACGCTTTATGTTCGACTATTGCTAATTTATCATACTGTATCTTTAATTAATGGTTCGGGCAATCATTTATGGCGCTATTAATCAGCAAATGTATTCTGGTTTAATAAGGTTTCAAAGCATTAAACAGAATAAATAGCAGTAAAATGTATTTTTCCACAAAAATTGACAAAGTTTTATTTAAAGGAAAATACTGTGCTTCTGCAGTATTGGGCGTGGATATTGCATGGACTCTTACTGCAACACAGACAACAGAAGATCGTAATCAAACCAGGAATTTTAACTAGACACGAGTTTCTTTATAAATAAGGCTATCTTTAGTCTACATGCAATGTTATTGTCTGCATCCAATTGCAGCTTACTTTGTTTGTAACTTTATAATAAGATACAAATCTTTGGTTTTCGGAAGTTCTGTTTGAAACTGTTCTCATGGAACTGAAATGAAACGAAATAATGTTAGATTTTTCATGACAGTGATCAAATAGTTTCGTTTGAATCTGGAATGCTACTTTTGGTATGCAAAATTGGCAACTGTTTCGTGCATTTGTTTGGTTATGATTTAAAATGTTTAATACATAAATAATGGAAGACCTTAAGCGTCATGTAGAAACTGCATTGCATCAAGACGGTGTGGTTCTTGTTACAAATGGATAAATCAAGCTTAGTCCGCAGGGATCTGAATTGAAATTTAAATGGATTGCTCATATACCAAAACAATTTAGGGAACAATTTGGATTATTACAGGGTTTGATTCAGTCTGGGTGGAGGGAGAGGCAGTGCTATTAAGATGGGATGGGAGTCCTTATAGCTCCAGCAATATACGCAGAAAAATTGTCATATATATATATATATATATATATATATATATATATATATATATATATATATATATATATATATATATATATATATATATATATACATATTACAATTAAGAGAAATTAGCATTCAATATTTATTTAAATAGTCTGTTAACCTATCGTTCACGTTAATTCGAGTAATTATGTAAGAGGGAGAGGTAAAGATACAAACAAAAAATCATCTGGGGTAAATTCAAACCTTACATAAATTCTTGGTACTATTTGCTTTCTAACTCTTTTTCTATCTGTATCGCTTAATTATGCATGAAAATGCTACGATTTATATCTTTATTGTTTAGATGGTATAATTTCTATTTGTTTCCCTTACATATGTATATGGAATGCAACGATCGTTTCCAATGTATAACCAAAGGGAGAAAAAAACCCCCAGGAATAATGTCCACATTATAGAAAGCGAATATGCTTGTCTAGTAAACATGTCATGTCTACTTTACTATTAGGATGGTATCTTCTTTCAAACATTTAAAATAAACCGATTTCTAAAGATCTTATAGACGAAAGTGAATAACTAATTACATTATGTACGCAACGCGATTCGACAATATTCAGGAATGGTTTGGTTAACTGCAAGTTTATTTATGCTCATCAACGAATTTATTATAAAAAACCCACCTTCCAATCAGGAAAACAATTTTAAAAAAAAACATTACACAGTCCATACATTGATTCCTAGGCAATGCTCACCCAATGTGTTTGTCCCAATCAGTGTGGTGCAATCCAGGCAGATTACGAGAGCATTTGTGTTTCATTAGTTTAGAAAACTTGACACTGTTAAAAAAATTATTCATATTTATTCAATCACTGGTTTATTTTAGTAATGCATATATTCATCAACCCAGCTGTCTGTAAATTTTAGATATAGTTAGGAACCATTGTTCCGTGGTCATGTAAATTTTAAATTTTAAAGACATTAGATTCATATTTAGATCACAAAAAGAATCGGTTACATAAGTTATATAAATCTTTCTCCTTCTATCGACTGATTCTAAATTGTAATGATTTTAATTAATATATATATATATATATATATATATATATATATATATATATATATATATATATATATATATATATATATATATATATATATATATGTATATTAGATGAAAGAAACATGCAGTCTATATTTACATTCCCATTCCATACCACGTCACAGGATTATTTATATTTGTAGAATAACGCCAGTTTTGCGAGGGTAGAAGGTAAGTGGTAGAGAACAAAGCCATATAAATTCTCAAATGTGCTTGAAGAGATGATAAAGATGCGTAAACATTTCCTTGAATAGGACACCATGAAGATGGATGAGTCAACTCTGGCTCTGTGTGAACTAATTTGCTGATGTCCAGATAGCCTTGTTTCCCTTAAATAAAAAAGAAATTATTTTCTTTTCATTATAACAAAGGTCACTGATAGATCTAAACAATAATAAAAGGTGAAGCAACTGCTTGAGCACCACCACCAGATGTGTGTAATTTACTGACTCAGTTAACGCATTTGATACTATGATAATGTTGCAAAAAGACTAACGGGAATGAAGTGGGAACGTATGCAAATATTTCACAAAGAAAGTAATCCGACGCAAGATATCCTAACGATCTCGACATAAACCTTGCCTCCCACTGTGAAGCAGACATTAAATTCTCATTAGAAAAGATTTTTTGCATCGAAAAACTGAAACCTCAGATATGAGGTGTATTCTAAGTTTATAAAACATACTCTGTGATTAGAGGCGTATCAAGAAATTATGGGCCCACTGCAAACAAAAAAGTGGTTTGATAGGAATTTGTATTCCCCACTGGTATATGATGCATTACGTGACACCTAACGTGATAATACCGATTTAATTTTCCCTGTATATATTCTTTTCATAGGCAAATGAACTGATGTACTGAGAGAAAGACTGTTCCTACAACCGAAATCATGTTAAAGCGACCGACCCACATTCAGACAGACAGCGATAAACAAATAAATAGACAAAAGGCGCATCAATAGATCATTCTTAGGCATTACATTAATTAAACTTTGCAAGACGATATCGTCAATAATTGTTACCAGCCAATTACATGGTCATACTTTTGAAGAACTTGTCTGGCCCTTCGATAAGTTTATTATCCCGATACAACGCTGTTTCATAGAAACACAATTGTTCTCGGTTGTTTTTGTTCCCCATGTCAGGTAATATTACAGCACTTCATTTCAAAACATAAGCACATCATCTGCAAACTTTTAATTGTCATGGCGTTGCCTGAGACTGATCATAATCAACCGTTCATGTTGCTACAGCTTTCTTTACTAAGGCAACACTTATAATAGATATTTCGTCATCTAACTTTGTACTGTAATGCATTATATAGTTAAAACTAATATTATGTCAGGAAACAACGGCAAATATACTTAATAAAATAGCATATAGCTCAAAATGGATCAGTTATTAATGCAAACTGATTGATGTTTTACCAGCATTCGAACTCACCAACAGTCTAATATTTCTTGCTCGACGACCTATCCATGTAAACAAGGATAAGACGAAACCGTACCGACAGAAGCAGATGCTCAAAAGAAGATTTCTTCGACAAAGTGTTATCAAAGAAGAAAGAGAATCATTTCCTATATACTTTCAAGTTATTGAGCTTTATCTGTTATTACGTAGCTTATGTGCCAGTTTAATTAACTATATCTTTCAAAAGTTGAAAATCACTTATCCAGTTTTAGGTCGATGATTTTGATACGTGCTACATCATAACGAGAGAGTGAATGACTGTTGGTTATTCGCTTTCCTGTGAAGAAATGTAAGCACAAGATACGCACGGACAACATGATTAGGCAAATTGCAGAAAATAAAAATATGTAAGAGAAGTTTTTGAAAGAAATCATATAAAAAGGGAAGGGACGTTGTTAATATATTGCTGACATTTGAGGCCAATTGCTTTAAAGACAAAAAATAAATATCTGCGCACATAAACGTTGTAAGAATATGGCGATCAGTTCATACTATGATTCGCTGTTGAAATCAGGTATAATTACATGCTATCAGTTTCAGAGAATAAAAAAGAAATTGTTACGACTCAAATGTCACAAACTTAGTAATAGAAAGAAGCTAAACGTAAGAAAGGATTTAGATATCAAAGTTATATAATGAAAATGCATGAAGAATTCACAGCATTGAAGATTTTATTCCAAAAGAATTTAATGTTTTTCTCAAATTATCTAAACACAACATCAAACACATATGCAGACTGACTTTAACATATAAAACAAGAATCAGAAATAGGAATTAATCTGATTGCCCTGTTGTCTCCTTATATAGACATTCAAATTTCTACTAAGACTATATGTCGCAATATACCCTACGTGACAGATCTTGCTACTTAACCACATATTTCAAAATGCCTGTACATGTGACTTAATCCATCCAATCAGAAAATTTTAATTCTTCTAATAACCCACATGACCGACCTGTCCAATAGGAAACATCCCCAAACTAGTAAACAGGTCTACTTACTCATATTATTTTTAATGGTCGTAAGAACGTATAACTATTTATAGATCCTGAGCAAATTGTATTCTTGATATCTTAAAATTGAACTTTATACCCGTGTAAAAATAACTATATATTAACTTAACTATAGATGATCATTATAATTTATAGTCATAAGTAAAAATTACACATACTATAAATATAATCATGTAAAAAATGTTTTAAAATTATAGATATACTCAAAGATAAAAATAAAATAAAGTACCATATTCAAGCACAAAGAAATCAAAGAACTCAAGAAACGGAAAAGAAATGGTTGGTGCTTGACATGTTTGAATATTTATGGACAATAATCTGCATACATAAGCTATGTAGGCATCCTAATTATATCGGGCCAATGGCATTGGACTTGTGACAATAGGGGCGTTTCCAACCGGAATGATATTTAATACGGTTTCTTAACGTATACCGTACCAGCATTCCGCAATCTCACAACTTGATAATGTACGGACAGGTAATTTTTCTTGTACTATAGTATTGTGGCTCTTTACAGCAGCGAGGATGTCTATCACAGCCCGTTGCTTGAAATGTGATTCTAACAGGAGTTTCAAGGCTATTTTTTACGATTTATATACATATC